TATTACAAAAAGGTATGCAGTGTATGTTCTCGCTAAATTGCTCCCAAATGTAAGATTGTTGTATCATAATAGTAGAATAAGTTCCCCTTAGTTATATAAAACTTACAGTATAATTTTTTTTTTAATTCTCCTGGTTGTTACCCCTTTATTCCCCAAACTTTACATATTGTTCCCTTGTACTTACATGCAAGTACTTTATAGGTACACTATAATTACCGAAAGTTACTCTGTAAATTCCTCTTAATTACACAGTACTTTCCGGGCTGTAATCTAAAGCGTTACCGAAGAGGTACTTACACATTTTGCTAGAACATTCTTCCGGTATGCTTTGATCCTAAAAGAGGGAATGGTGGATAAGGAGTATTAGGTTTTAGCAGAGCTCGTCTACGGAGAGCCTGGAAACTCCCTATTGTACCGAATTTTGGTTGTAGTTCCTCCAGAGTTCCACTGGGGGCGATCGCCCGAGTGCAAAATGAATGGGAGTCTATGGAGCTAGACGGCTAAATTCGTCTTTCACCCGATTGCCGTTGAGAAATCTCAGATTTGATTGTAGGTTTTGCAAGTTCAACATGGGTTATAGGTCGAAAGTGGAATGAACGAGTACTTTTGTCCTTTCGATTTCTTCCAGATTGAGTTGTTGTTGCCCATAACACGCTAATAAACGCTGGTTGGTCAGTGAAGGACTGATTACGACCAGAGACACCGCTTGATGGCATCCAAAGCGGGACCAGAATGTTAAGGCGGACTTAACTCTTCAAGCACGTGTGTTTACCTGTGTCAGCTGTCTCGAGAGAAAAGAAAGTGCAGAGCGCGAACGCACCAAAAGTGACTGAAGGATTGCCTAGCATAGATATCCATAATAAAGGCTAGATGTCTCGTCCGCGCTGCTGGCCAATGGAGGTCGCCGTCCGCACTGGCGGCCATCTTGCCACAGGCAGCTCGCTCACTCTAACATTGTGTTTTAATGGCGCATGTACTTTTTAAATAACCATAACTTGCTCAATTTTCTACCGATTTTCAAACGGTTTGGTTTGTTATAAACGTCAGAGATGTAGTTATGACACTGCATGCTTCTGAATAATAAGTGTATCAATAAATAATCATCCAGAATTATAGCCACGTTAATAACGTTCGTAAGAAACCAAACCGTTTGTAAATCCGTCAAGATTTCACCGAGATAAGAGTATTTGTGTTGGTGCTGATCACTCATCTTACATCAGGCACCACAGAGCCCGCCAGAAAGCTTGCCTGTGACAAGATGGCCGCCGGTGATGACGCGCCGTAAGACATCTAGCCTTTATTATGGATATCTATGCTGCCTAGTATCTCTGGTCGTCCGATGTGTATGATGTCATTGACATTTTAAAAGACTTTTTAAAGCAAATAATGACGGTGATGACGCGCCGTAAGACATCTAGCCTTTATTATGGATATCTATGCTGCCTAGTATCTCTGGTCGTCCGATGTGTATGATGTCATTGACATTTTAAAAGACTTTTTAAAGCAAATAAGTGACTCTAAACAATCTAACACCCAGCAATGTGTAATTTCTTTGCATCTCCTTTCGAATAAAACATTCAAATTACTAGACAAAAAATTATATCCTGAGAAAAGTGGATTTTGAGGGGTATATCTCCATAGACCTCCATTCATTCTCCACTCGTCCTGTAAGCGCCCTCATGTGGACCCAGAAGTTTACTGAGAGTGGGAGTTCTCCCCTTATTAGACATTCTCTGGTTTTATGTTGTTTTCTTGGTGTTACGCACACAGTCCAACACTCACGTTTCTCGAGCGATGATCTTGCTGCCGATGGCCGCCTGCACTGCGATCTCAAACATCTGTCTCGGGATCGAGTCCCTCAGCCTCTCACATATGGCTTTTCCCGCACTGTACGCTTTCTCTCTGAACACAAGGACGAATCAGAGCTGGTTTCATTGTTTTCTAGCGATCGCACCACAAAACAGGGAAGATGTTAAGAATAAGTGCAGTAAACAGTAAAACGGTTTGTTGTACAAACCAGTGTGTTTATGAATTCGATAATACATTAAAAATATAGCTACGAGCAGCAATTAAGTGGCCAAGCACAAAGAAGACACGATAAGTCATGCTAGCATGGGTGGGAGCGTCAGACCAACTGCAACAATGAGCAATTTAAGACAAAATGCCTGAAAAATGATAAATATAGTCACTAGTAATATGATTGGGTTTATCACTTTTAACCAATAGGTGGCGCTGTGACCAAATTGATGTGGTGTGGTCAGACTAGGGTGAGTTTGGTGTCAATATGCCGAAGCATTGCAGAGATACAGGCTCAGAGTCGTTTGGCATCACTCCATAACTTTGCTGATGAAAGACGGTAACTTTTTGCCAGCGTAGTCTGGAAGTTCAGCCGACTATTGTAAAATTGGTATCTATGTTCTCGGCATGACCCAAGGAATCTATTAAGACCAGTTTCATTACAATAACTAAAATTAATCAAATGTTTTTAGCATATTTGGAAATTTCCTCATAATTTCTGACCACAAAGTGGCGCTGCCCCAACGCTTTTTGAGTACCTTCAGGGCATGGTGATGACATACTGAGTTTCATGAAGATATGCCAATGCGTTCGTAAAATATAACATTTTACGACAAAATTCAAAATGGCTGACGCCATATGGGAAATTGGGTATCGTTTGACTTGGCACGCTGCACCCAATCTTAAGAGGCCAGTTCATAAGTTATAAGCAAAAAGAGCAATTTTTTATATCTCCAGAGCACTAGGTGACAATTCGCCGAAACTGTGCAGGTAACCTCAGGTCATGGTTGTCATAACACACCCCAATTTTGGTGAAAATACGCTAAAGCGTTGCGAAGATACAGCCTCACGTTTACTTTGGCATGCTCTTCGTCGCATTCGTTCAGGCGTTAATCAAGAACGGTTTGACGAATCAACTTGAATTACATCATTTTTGTCCCCATGGTGTGAAGATGATCTGGTTTAATTTTAAAAGTAGGTTTTTAGGGAAATTCTAAATGGAGGATAAATTTCTATGCAATCGGATCGGCTTGAGCCAAGGAATCGGAGGGGGAAAATATTTTGTTTCTATACCTTATGGTTCAAAAGTTATTAACATAAACATGACTGTAAATTTGGACAGTTGGTGGCGCTAGAGTGATTGAGTTAGAGACTCCAAAATTGCTGTGGTTAATGTTCAGATTGTCCTCTATCAGTGTGCCAAATTTCATAACTTTCCTGCATGCCGTTCTATGGGCTGCCATAGACTCGAGCGGAATAATAATAATAATAAGAATGCCGACGGATGAATGCCATCACAGCTTCACTGCTCGACCACTAATAATATGATACGAAACACGAGTTTGCAATATCAAGCATCATAGCGGACTGTTTTTGTCTTGCTAAAACAACTGGAAGCGAGTGACACCGGAAACCTCACGCATTCAATTTACAAATGGCTGCATTACGTTAAAAATAAGGAGGATGGCCTTATTCCAGTTTTTAGGTATTTAATCACATTTGTGCACCTGTAAATGAGTAATTGATCAAATATGTTTAAAATACCTAACCCTAACCCTATCTAATAATAAGGAGATCAAGACTTACTTATGAACGATAATGGCGAGTTCCTCCACTGGCCGCCCGTTGAGGAGGAAGTCCATCTTAATCAGTTCAGCGGCCTCATAACCGGCATCCTCGTAATCAAAACTAGGGGAAAAAACAGTAAACATATTTACAGAAGTGACAATAAAGGGGCGTTCCTGATTGAGTGAGTTAGTAGTGTGTTAAACTGGCGGTTATGGAAAGGGGCGGGACATTTCCTAAACACACTCGAAGCGCTCGACCAATCACAACACACTGATCCAGCCGACCAATCAGAGCACAGTGTGCTTTTCAGAAGGAGGGGCTTCATAGAGACAAGAACTAAACAGGAGTGTGTTTCCCGAAAGCATCGTTAGTCAACTACGGTCGCAATTTCTGTCGTTATTAGGATGGTTTAACGAGTCTGTGTTTTCGCAACCATCGTTCCAACGAACATTCGCAAACAGCTTCGTAAAGTTGTGTGTTTGAGCGACAGATCTCCTGTGGTTAGAAGCAGTTTCTTGTTTGCATGACATGTGGACTCAATAAATCCTGATCTGGAGCAAAATAAGCAAGCTGACATTCAGTGCAACCTGTGTCTTTTATTTAGAATACATACAAATGTCATTTACGAGAAAGAGATTTAAAGCGTTGTTTTTTGAAGAGTGTGCATTTGTGAACGAGCTCTAGTGTGTAAGAACAACCCAATCATTGAATCTGGAAATAAAGCAAAATGAGAAATAAAGTCAAAGTCGAAGTCCTCAGATGCCATGTCTGTAATTTATTGCAAAACATCTAGCTTTAATTAGTTCTCAAACTGATTAATTAAAATAAGTTATTACTCCACCACGTGCGTGACGTCATAAACCAACGTGGTTGAACGACAGGTTTGCGACAGTACAGTTTCCTGAAACAGTCGTGATTAGCTAGTTGATTTCTTCAACGATGCATCGTACTATAGTAGTGAACCAGCGAGTTACGCCGTTGTTCGGGAAACACATCCCAGGGCGTTACTGACAGACTGGGAAGAGAGGAGCCGCAACAATGGAGAATATGAGGAGAATAATCAACATTCAAGCAGGAAAACCTGTTCTAGTAGAGCCTGAAACTACATCAAGACTCTTGAAAGGGCGTAATATGGGCTCTTTAAGCATTTATTCATTCATTCAAGCTCACCTGGCGTATCCTGATGACATGGACTTGAGCTGGTCGTAAAAGTCCACTACGACCTCATTTAGAGGGAATAGGTACTTCATCATCACTCGATGGTCATCGATGTAGAACATGTTCTTCTGAACAGCCCTGCGGGTCTTCAGAAAGGCAGAGAATTGCATTGTGGGTTACGACTTAAAGTACGCTTTCACAGAAATGGGGGATTCGGTTGCTTTTTTCTTCTACTTCACTTACCCTTTTTAGGTAAGGCTGGAATACACCACTTGTATACGTATTTTAGTCACGATTTATAGTCTGGAGGAGTCGACGACGCTAGTTGCTGAAAGCCAGAGCCAGTTGGAGTTTACAAAGTTTACAACATTTATAAAGTTGCCAAGTCTATGATGCCTAGTGTTTAAAATGCTCAGTTTTAAAAAGTCCTGTAGTGTATTCCAGCTTTCGGTAGCTCAGATCTTTACCGCTAAACTACACAGCAAAATTTTTTATTGAAAATGAGTTTTTGCTTAAAGGCCATGTTGCAGGTTAAACACCACTGTCGATTAATGGGTACATAAAGCAGTTAAGATATGTATATAAAGTTAGAAATGTCTCCAAAATGGTGTTAAAGTCCAGTTTTTGAAGTTTTTGGTTAGTAACGGTTATTTTTTTTTAATCACGAAATATGCTCTTCTAATGTCAGAGTGATCGTGCTTGTAAATTAGTGGAGGCTGTGTCAAAGGGAGCACGGTATACAAAATACACACAGAGCTAGCTAACACGCAGCTTGTAAACATTAACGTTAGCATGATGCTTACCGTGGCAATTTGTCGCTTGCGGCAGGCGGTGTCTCTCGACCTCGGGACAGGGCAAGCAGAGAGGTTTGCGTTCACAGACGGCACGGCGGTAGGAAGTAATTTAGCACTTCTCTCACTCTTTAGACCAAGTGAGACCATCTTGGCATCCCCTGAATTGTAATCCTCCTCTTTGAAATGCGCGCTACATATTCTCGAGTAGGCGGTGACAGAGCTCGCTGAAAAATCTGCCCGCCTAATCTTCACAAACTGCACCCAGCTTCGGAAGATCGCTTTGTCCTTGGGGAAGGAATGGACCCTATGTCCAGTTTTGCTGGAGTTCTTGCACCCGCCACAAACACAGTAATAAACCATTTTGATTTATTTATGATCTACTCTTTATCTATCTCTAAGCTATCTGTTATGCTATGCTATCTCTCACTATATATGCTATGCCTATCTATCTATCTATCTATCTATCTATCTATCTATCTATCTATCTATCTATCTATCTATCTATCTATCTATCGTTATCTATCTTTCTTTACTTATAAATCTGTCACTGTCACTCTTTTACTAGCTAGCTACTCGTATCACTCTCCCTCAATGGTAAGGCGGGCCGCGGGCTTTCGTCTGTCGTCCAACAGTCAGCGAGTACCTCATGTGACGTCATGGATTGCATTGTGGGAGAAATAAGAATCAGCGCTAAGCTGTAGCTAAATGCTAACATATCACCTACTTTGCCGTATTATATTTTAATTTTTGAGTACCCTACAACATCAAATACAATGGATAACTGTTTAAATGTTTATTACCAACTAGAAAATTACCAAAAAAAAAAAAAAAAAAAACCTGCACCATGGCCTTTAAAACAAGCAAAATTATCTGCCAATGGGGTCAGAAAAATAATGTTAATTCAAACAGAAACAAGATTATTTCTCTTACCCCATTGGCAGATAATTTAGCTTGTTTTAAAGCTACAATATGTTGTGTGTTTTTTTTCGCCGCTAGGGGTCGCTAACCTCTTACAGTAACAAAGGCATAGGTTGGTGAAGCTAAGCGGAATTATGGAAGTTGTCGTCATGCCGATGGATCAAATAATGTTTATGGATATTGATGTTTTTAACATGACTGTGGAATCAAGCGTGATTGATAACAAAAGACAGATCTCAGCGCCACACGCGAGTCCCGCGGATATAAAGGAATAAGGACATTTCATAACTTACGCGCAAGTGCTGAATTACTCACTCAGATCAGTGTATTAGACGGATGTTTTTATTATGTTTTACATGTTCACTTGTCATCGACAGCGACAAGTGAACATGGACGAGCCAAAATTGGGAAAAAAATAGGAATTTCTCTGAAATTAAAAACATCTAATATTGTAAGTACATAACTGCAGGAAATATATCACACTGTGCAAGAGATTTTTGGATATTTTATTACAATATTTAATTTTTATTACATTTTACCTAAGTGTCACCGGCCCACCGGTGGGCCCAAATCCATTACATTTTTAAAACAGTAATATCTTTATTTTGACAGACCTTTATTTTGAAATAGTGATGAACATGAAAAATCATGAAAGAAGGGTAGAAACCTCAGTTTGTTTTCATGCCAAGAGTTCAAAAGATAGCATCCATTCAATTATTTTAGAAAAAAAGGTCTGATTTTTTTTTAAATATAAAGAAAAAATTATAGATTCACCATTTGTGATGTGGCAGGAAGCTATAACGCACATACTTGTTCTTTTTGTGTTTCTTAGAGGTTGAAATCATATCAAAATCTGCCAAACGTCTCATATTACTTCTGAATAGGATGTCTACTTCATAAATTGTATGAAAATTGTGGAAATAATGGTTTATATTACTCAAAACACACATGGAAATGGAGGCGCCCTTATATGGGCAGTAATGGAGTCTGGTCGTGCCCTAGTGGAAGCGTTCGGTACTGCGCCCAAACAAAATATTACTGAAAGCTCATATTTTGAGATATCAACCTAAAATTTGAAATACAACTTGTTCAGATTTTTTACTTTGATTTTTTTTTTGCAGTTTTAGAGTCGCCCAGGTTTGGAAAATATATATTTTCTATAAAACACTTAAAGGGTTAAGCAAAAACTAGATTTTTCCCCCTAGAAAACAAGACATTATATCGATTGGCATTTTACTCATCTAGTAAATGCTTCTTGATTTAGGAATTTTTAGATATTTGGACTGGAATCAAGATACAAATAACTAAGAAAATCTTCCTTTGCAGTCGGCGAATCTCACCTGACACAGACTCATGATCTTCCCAGTGAAGTCGCTCGGAGCGATGATGGTTCCCATCACCATGGGCTCCAGATACTGCTCCACCAGAGCCCTCTCAGGGAAGTGAGCCGGGTTGATGATGGTGATCACTTCCTCACCGTGTTCCTACGAAAACACACTTAACTGAGGAATCGACTCTTCGACCCGCAAACGTTCATATATCAGTGAGGGGAATGTATCGCGAACTGCCGTATTATAAATTCATATACATTTCTGCATACTTCCTGCACACGGTTAATAAGGCCTTAAAGGAGTAGTTCACTTCAGAATTAACATTTTCTGATAATTTATTCACCACCACGTCATCTAAGATGTTCATGTCTTTCTTTCTTCAGTCGGAAAGAGGAACACACTCCAGGATTGTTTCTCCATATAGTGACTTCAATGGGGTCCAACGGGTCGAAGGTCCAGATGTGAGTTTCAGTGCAGCTTCAAAGTCTCGACTAAGGAATAAGAGTCTTATCTAGACAAACCAGCGGACATTTATAACAAAATAAACATTTATATACTTTTTAACCACAAATGCTGGTCTTGCACGAGCTGTGATGCGCCACACATTACGTAATCAGGTTGAAAGTTCACGCGTGTTCCGGTTCAGAAATGTAGAGTAGGGCGAAAAACTAATTTTCTCTTCCAACTTCAAAATCGTCTGACATCGTTGTTTTACCTTTTATTCATACATTTTTTTAATGGCATTTGATTTTCGCCATTAAGACACGTTCGCTTTATAAACACAGGCCTGTACTTACACCTACGTCACGCTTGACCTTTCAACCTGATTACGTAATGTGTGTCGCATCACAGCTCGTGCAAGACCAGCATTTGTGGTTAAAAAGTATATAAATGTTTATTTTGTTATAAATGTCCACTGGCTTGTCTAGATAAGACTCTTATTCCTTAGTCGAGACTTTGAAGCTGCACTGAAACTCACATCTGGACCTTCGACCCCATTGAAGTCACTATATGGAGAACAATCCTGGAACGTTTTCCTCTTTTCTCAAGAAAGACATGAACATCTTAGATGACATGGTGGTGAGTAAATTATCAGGAAATTTTAATTCTGAAGTGAACTACTCCTTTAAGGTATTCTGGGTCGATTTTTCGTATTCTGCTATGCAGTTTCTGAGGTGTTCTGGTTGTAGAGTCTCACCTTTATGAGTTTGGCAGACGCCAGCACAGCCTTGTACGGGACAGTCGGAGCCGTTATTATGACCGACGCATTATATTCCTGCTCTAAACGCTGGTTAAACACCTCCATGTGCAGAAGACCCAGAAACCCCAGCCTGAGAGAGACAGACACAGAGAAATTGGTACATTGTGTAATATTTAGGAGGATCTGTTGACAGAAATGCAATATCATAAACATAACTATGTTTTCAGTGGTGTATAAACACCTTACATAATGAACCGTTATGTGTTTATTAGCTTATAATGAGGCGTTTCTCTCTACACACACCGCGGGTCCGCTTACATCCACATGTTTCTACGGTGGCCCTGAACGGACAAACGCGTTTCCTCACTATGTTGTTCTTCATGATAAGAATCTGCTAAAGTCAGCGAATAAGACACTGACACAATGAAGAACAAGTGACTATAATATTCGCAATAACATCGTTTTACTGAATAATTAAGTAAACCTAATTTCTTAATTTATCTTTGTAAAGAAACCTCATTGCTACTCTCTGCGTTCTCAGACGACGACATCACTTCCTGTCGGCCACCGTAACTTCTGTTGGGTGCAATCTGCAAACTCACCACTAGATGCCGCTAAACATTACACACTGCACCTTTAAAAAGTGAAACGACTCGACTGAGCGATGAACTCTGTGACTGTGTGCGTGTGTACGAACCTCCATCCGGCTCCCAAAGCCAAACTACTGTCCCGCTGAACCGTCACGCTGGAGTCATTCAGAGTCAGTTTCTCCACAGCGCTTCGCAGGGCGGTGTAATCTGATTGGTCCATGGGATACATGCCTGAAAGAGTTACACAACTTATTCCCAACCCTTAAAAAGCCCATATTATGCCCTAACACGAAGTCTTGATGTAGTTTCAGGCTCTACTAGAACAGGTTTTCCTGCTTGAATGTTGACTATTTTCCTCATATTCTCCATTGTTGCGGCTCCTCTCTTCCCAGTCTGTCAGTAACGCTCTGTTTACTTCCTGTCTCTATGAAGCCCCTCCTTCTGAAAAGCACACTGTGCTCTGATTGGTCGGCTGGATCAGTGTGTTGTGATTGGTCGAGCGCTTCGAGTGTGTTTGGGAAAGTCCCGCCCCTTCCCATAACCACCAGTTTAACACACTACTAACTAACTCAATCAGGCCCCGCTACTGTATTCTACGCATGAATTATTATAATGAGGAATATTGTGACGTGTTCGATCCCGGGAGAAACTCAAGACTACAATGGAGGCGTTTCAGGAGTTCAGAAACACTGACACTGATATAGAGAAGAACTGGAGCGTTTTCATGATCAAACTGCAACATCACACACTGAAGATGAAGATGAAGATGGAAAACAGTAGAATAGCTCGTCTTTAAACTGTGTAATATTAGTTTAGCACACACTCACCCGCGAACACCATGGCTTTAGCCGGTTTGAACCCCGGCAGCGCCTCCACAGGCTGTGTCTGCAGGTAAAGTGTGTCTCCAATCTGAGCCTCCTTCACTTCCTTCATCCCTGCGATGATGTAACCCACCTGACCGGCATACCTGAGGACAAGAGGTCAAAGGTTAAGCTAGCGCAACTTACAGAGACTGTCTGAAACATTCCTTCTTAGGGTGTATATATGTAGTTTGGAAGGTTTTAAGCTACATCCAAGTTTTTAAGATGCCTTTATTTGTTTTTTCAACTTATGATTCTATTTCTACCATAAAAATAAGCACTGAATTGATTGAATGTTTGCTTGGTTATCTTTTAAGGCCTAGGTTTTCAACCAGGAGTCTGCAGAATATTTAAAAAATGTATTTCTCGTTAATTTTTTTCTTTTTCTTTTTTCAAAATCGTGAAACTTTTTATTTCTAGACAGGGTTTTTGTCGTCAACTAAAACTTTTAAAAACATTTCTGTTAATCGAAATAAAGCTGAAATCAAAATAAATATATATATTAGTTGGAAAAAAAAAGATACTAAAATGTTGCCTTGGATAAGTTTAAGCACTAAAATTACTACATAGAAATATGTAATGTAGATAAAATGTAGAACTGAAATAAAAATAAATTAAACCTAAATACCAATAGCTTAATTTGTTTTTTAAAAACTAATAAAATGACAAAAGCACATAACAAAATGACTAAAAACTAAACTAAAATTAACACGAAAACTAAAAATATAAAAATACAAGCTAATTAAAAATTTTAAATCTTAGTTTTATGCCCCCCAAACAGAATTTTCTTGATTTAAAAAATAACTTTTAAATAATTATACAATTCTAAAACATTTTCTCTATAAATGCAGTTATGATAGTTAATGTTCAGGTTGAAAGCTCTTGTGAATCAGTAGATGAGGTATTTTCAGAGATGTGTGGTGCGGTCAGTGTGACGGCGAGGGGCTCACAGTGTTTGGGTCGGGTGTGGGTCGGGTCTCAGGACGCCCAGCTCATTGACCTCATAAGACTTTCCCAGGTGTGCCGACACGATCCGGTCTCCTCTGGACACGCGTCCGCCGAACACGGCGATGTTGGCCACTACGCCTCTGTAGTGATCGAACGTGGAGTCGAACACGAGGGCCGTGAACGGGTCGTCCACTCGCGCCGGCGGACTGAATCACACAGGGAACATCAACAGAAATGTGTGAAAGTTATTTCATTTTTTGTGGATCTTCTTTTTAGAGAATGAAATTCGGTTCCACTTTATTTCGATAGTCCACTTTAGACAATCTACTAACTATAAGTAAGTCTTAGTAGAGTGTTAGGTTAGGTGTCCATAAGTTGACTTGTAGTTGTTACTTATAAAGTGTTAGCACTCTACTAATACTCTAATGAGAGTTAGTTGACATGTAGTTGCAAAGTTACTAATAGTTAGTAGAGTGTCTAAAGGGGACTATCGAAATAAAGTGTTGCCTGACATTCTTTTGTTTTACATGTCTCAAGGTGCTATGTCAACAATTTGACACTCTATCCTTGTTACATGTACTTACTGTAGTAAATTATGGGTAATACTTTATTTTAGTGTCCTTGTTACATATGTTACATGTACTTACATTTACATTTATGTATATGGCGGACGCTTTTATTGCATTTCAAGGTACACATTTACATTCTTATCAGTTTTGATGTACTTATCATAGTAATTATGCATAATTACATGCAACTAAGTTAATTCTGAACCAAACCAAATCCTTTCCTAACCCTATAGTAAGTACATGTAGTTGCTTAATATTACTCAGTGCTTAAATATATAGTGTAACCAAATTATGCATAATTACAAACCCTAACTCTAATTATACAGTAAGTACATGTTGTTAGTTAATATCGCTCAGTACTTGTAAATCACACTGTAACAAGGACATCTTAAGATAAAGTGTAACCCAACAACATACCTAACAAGAAATACGCTATGCAGGGAATGAAGATGAGCAGGTTTTCAGAAAAGCACATGACATATGATAACACACATGATGATGAATTACCATAATAAACTGAAGCTTTCCTGATTCACTCACTTCCCGATACACTATTTTAGTTTATAAGATTAATAGTAACTAAGTGACATAAATACCACTGAATGTATAATTAACTTAAGATTTCTCGGCTGTATTTTTTTGTGCTTCTGAACTTATTTTTTATGAGAAAACAAAACAAGCAAAAATTAGTTTAGAGTTCAATTCTCACTATTAACTAATTGCTTATTATCATGCATATTATTAGGATATTGGCTGTTTATTAGTACTTATAAAGCACAACTATGAATAAATAAGGAGTTTATTGAGGAGCATTTTTTAGTTAATAGTCAGTTAATTGTGAGAATTGGACCCTAATCTAAAGTGTGACCATTATATGTTTTGCATTGTGCCATTTACAACTAAATTAAGCATTATCATTATCATTAGTAAAATGCAATGAATTGTTCAGGGGTTATTTTTAAATCAGCATAAAAACAGTACAACAAACTCTACGTATCATTATGTATATTTTTGTTTTACACTACAGTTCAAAAGTTTTTTTTTAAAAGCAAGGACAATTCAAAAGTGTTCAAAAGTGACAGTAAAGACATTTATGATGTAATAAAAGATCATATTTCAAATAAATGCTGTTCTTTTGAACTTTCTATTCATCAAAGAATCCTGAAAATTAAAATGTATCACGGTTTCCGCAGAAATATGATCTGTTTTGAACATTGATCATAATCAGAAATGTAGATTTCTGAAGGATCATGTGACTCTGATCTCTAATGCATGATTCATTGTGTTGATGTAATCTGGGCTTTGGGTGTGCATGTGTTCTGATATGATCTTATGAACCAAACAAACAATAAATCATATGCAGTCTGTGCTGATCTTCACTCTCACAGTGCCCTCTTGTGGAGAAGCGTGAACGCGCTGGTGATACTCACGGAGGAATCCGCTTCACCACCTCTCGGAGAACTTGATCCACGTTTGTGCCGAGTTTCGCCGAGATCTGCAGAGAACAATCGCCACGATCACTAAAAATATTAAAGTGCCATTATGAAGACAAACATTTGAAGAGATGTTGAAATCTCACCTTGATGCACTCTTCCCTGGGAATATCAAAAACTTTTTCAATCTGTTTTTCCACTCGCTCTGGATCAGCATTTTTCAAATCAATCTGACAATTAAAACAACTCGTTAAAATACCAAACGGTGAAATAACCGACATTTGATGGTGATTTGGGTCTCCAGCTAAAGTTAAAGTCAATGTGAAACTATTCAAAACAAAACCACTATTTGCTGATTACTAACAATACTTACATTAAATAAAACATGATGATATAAAAAATATAAAACTGTCGTAAAGCATTCAGATGAATAAAAAAATTAATGAATGCACATGCAAATATATTTGGACTAATGAAGATCATGTGGTCCAAATGTTGCAGGAATTTGAATAAAAAATATTAGGAGCAACATTTATGGTTTTCCTACTTGATGTGAAGACATTTCTATAGTTTATCCAAAGCCCTGGGATGAAATGTCATGTATAAAACGTTTAATTAAGCGTTTAAAGTCATTCTCTCTGTAACGTCTACCTTGTTTATCACAGGGATGATTGTTAGTTGAGCCTCAAAAGCCAAGTAGAAGTTGGCGACTGTTTGCGCTTGAATTCCCTTTCAATTGGAGGAAGAAAAAAACATACAACACATTTTTTTACTCTTAATGTCAATTACAAAAGGCTGCAGTTTTTTTAGTAATGATCGTTTATTTATGCTGATATATGCGAGTATGTGCCAGTGTTGTTATAGTTAAAATAAAAATTATTTATTACTGTTCCCAATGAAGCTGAAGTGCTAATATTACTAACACTGAAATTAAAGATAAATAGAAATATTAGAAAAAGATAAAAGCACATAACAACAAAATGACTCAAACTTAAACCAAATTTATATATATATGTATATAAATAAAAGCTAATTATAAATATTAATAAATACTATAATAGTATATAAATAACACTAAAATAACATTGGTATATGCATATGTTCTGAAACTAAAGTAGGGTAAAAAATGAAAAACACTGTGTTTAATCTTCTGTAAATCATTAAATATAAGAAAGTGTCATTTATAAAGTGTTTTACCTGATTTGCATCTACAATGAGCAGAACTCCTTGGCAAGCGGATATGGACCGAGATACTTCATAGCTGAAGTCAACATGGCCCTGAAAAATAGTGGAATCACTTAAATTATACAGATTAGTTAAACATCAGTGTTTAAAGTGCCCCATTATACTATGTTAAAGACTCCTAATGTTATTTTAGAGTCTCCTACAACAGGTTCTCATTCATCCAAGATCAAAAACACTTTAATGTCCTCATAATCTCCACTGCAGCTTCAGCTCTTTCCTCTCAGAGTCTGAAACGCTTCAGTCTCTCTAAGCCCCGCCTCTCTGAGAGCTGCTCTGCTCTGATTGGTCAGAAAGCAAACGCTCATTATCATATCTGAATCTCAGCTATTGATTCACAGTGATACGAACAGTAACGATGGCGTGGGTTTTACCGTATCAATCTCAGAAAACAGCGTCGAACAACACGAACCGAACTCTTCCAGTCTCAGATACACTACAGTGTTTGAGGGCGGAGCTAAGAGACGCTGCTCAGCCAATCAAGACCACAGGCTGGCATTATGCTAATTAGATACACACCTATGTAGGAAGTGAGACTGGAATTACTGACGACTCGTTTCAGTTCAGAATCACTTCTTTCTTTTGGGACACAATAACTTTGCAGACCTTTTACAGCTCTATTACACACTGCATGAAAGGTGATATCTGTGCACTTGAAATCATTGTCCTCACAGGTGTGTCGATGAGGTTGAGCAGGTACGTCTGTCCGTCGTGCTGATAGAAGAGCGAGGCAGTCTGAGCTTTAACAGTGATTCCTCTCTCTCTCTCCACCTGCAGTTTATCCAGAACCTGCTTGTTACTCGCAGTCTTTGCAATGGCACCTGCGCACACAATCATGAGAAAGAAAGAAACAATTTTACATAATTCACAGGAAAGTCTCTCCTGTCGTGGATGTTTTACAGGAAATCACCTGTGATCTCCAGCAGTCTGTCAGCTAAAGTGCTCTTGCCGTGATCAATGTGAGCGATAATGCTGAAATTGCGAATTCTCTCCACTGGAAACTCAGACATGTCGAAACTCTCCTGTAACAGTCAAAGAACTCTAATTCAATATACAGTTGCGAAAACTATCAAAAACATTTCACCCATAGTTTCTACTGTAAAATCATAATAGCTTATGAGGGGCATAATGGATAACATTTTCGGTACAGGTCTTTTGGTTCAGTGTATGCATGTGTATAAGTCAAATGCAATAATTCTAAACTTACTCTAAAATATTTTGCTAATATATTCAAATCTCAGTGTGTGTTGCTGCAGAAGTTTTTATTTAAAGACAGACGTAGTTTGGTCTGTAAACTATGTTAGCTTGATTCCGCCACAGAATAAAAATAAAAAAGGTAATTGCGACTTTTTATCTCACAATTCAGACTTTTTTTTTCTCGCAATTGCGAATTTACATCTCGCAATTGTTTTTTTTCTCAGAATTGTGGGCCATAAACTTGCAATTGCGAGTTATTAAGACAGAATTGCAAGATATAAACTCGCAATTCTGAGAAAAAGTCAGAATGGCGTGATCTATAGTCGCAATTACGTGTTATAAAGTCAGAATTGCTTGATATTAAGTAGCAATTCTGAGGAACAAGTCACAATTATCTTTTAAAATGTTTTATTATGTGGTGGGAACAAGCTTCCATAATAAAGCACTTCAATAAAAACAAAAAAACATTGAAATATTACTTCAAAACCGCGGTAAGTACCGCAACGTTATTTTGTGTAACGGTTCGTTACATCCTTATACGTCATATATGTGTCCACTGAGGGCAAAAACAGGTCAAAGCAACACAGTTTACCTTCTCAGACGCATTAAAGCTGAAGTCTCTGACAGGACTGATGCTTTTCATCCATCTGTGTCTGATGACTGTACATGTGCTCACACAGCCCTGAGATCTGCGCTTAATGCGGCATATTTTAATATCAGGACAGCGTTTGATAAAGGGCAGAAAGAGCCCGTGCGATCTCAACAGAGACAGATGCATCGTCTCTATCAGCTCACGCTATTCCTTAACAGAGAAGCCATGTCTTTAAACTGCATATCGAACATCTCTTCCCATCGGAACAAAGATTCAAATCGTCATTCAAAAGCACATATTCAGTTTTTAGAAACAGTCAAGTCTACAGTAGATTGTGTACTTCAGTGTGACAGCTACTGTGGGGCGCCATGTTGGAAAAACGTCATCAAGTGTTACCCTCTAGGAATGATGGGAAGTGTAGTTTAAAAGAAAATCATTGCATTTAGATCATAAAATGTCTTCTGCGCTCAAATGTTGTAAGATATTTTCGCAAAACTAACTTTTTGCATAATTAATGTCTTCATTTTTTGGTCATTTTTTCAACTGGTGTTCAAATAAATAAAATAAATTTCGGGGAAACATCACAAGCTCACTTAGATATCTATCTATCTATCTATCTATCTATCTATCTATCTATCTATCTATCTATCTATCTATCTATCTATCTATCTATCTATCTATCTATCTATCTGTCTGTCTGTCTGTCTGTCTATCTATCTATCTGTCTGTTTATCTATCTATCTATCTATCTATCTATCTATCTATCTATCTATCTATCTATCTATCTATCTATCTGTCTGTCTGTCTGTCTGTCTGTCTGTCTATCTATCTATCTATCTATCTGTCTGTCTGTCTGTCTATCTGTCTGTTTATCTATCTATCTATCTATCTGTCTGTCTGTCTGTCTGTCTATCTATCTGTCTGTTTATCTATCTATCTATCTATCTATCTATCTATCTATCTATCTATCTATCTATCTATCTATCTATCTGTCTGTCTGTCTGTCTGTCTGTCTATCTATCTATCTATCTGTCTGTCTGTCTGTCTGTCTGTCTGTCTATCTATCTGTCTGTTTATCTATC